CGCCGCCCCCGCCGGGACCGCGGCCCGGGGGCCGGCCAGGGATGGGCAGGCGGGCGAGCACCTCTGCACAGGGCCGCCGCTTACCTGGAGGGCAACACCGTGCCTGGGCGACCTGTTGTCTGCAGGGCAGCGCCTTAGCGAGCCAAGTGCCTCTGCTCCCCTCGGGGCAGCAGGGCATCGCGCAACTGCTAATCCGGAAGGTGAGCGGTGAGAAAGCCTCGCTCGGTTTTTCAGTAAATCACGGTGATTTAACAAAGAACCTTATTTTTCTTTTTAGCCTGTGGATTGTCTGTCTGCTCTGTACTCTGAAATCAAGGAAGTGTCTGCCATTGATACTTAGGAATTCAGATAGTCAGCAACAGCGACATGCATATTAAGATAAATCTGAGGTGATCTTGGCTAGCAGAATTCATGCATCCAGTCATCCAGCCAGCCAGCCATCTGTACAGCCAGCCTATCTGAGCATTTAAAAATCCTGCAGGGTGACAAGGGCACAAAATTCAGCTACAGGGCCCTGCAGTAAACTCTTTCCAATAAGGAATATAGAGGAAACAATACTCCGTGAAAGGATTCATGTATGTTTTGTGTCATTTGTTTTGCCATTAGCAGCATCAAGTCTGAGGCTGTTAATCTTAATAAACGTTCCACTGCTTTCCAACCCTCTCAGCACTTCCTCTGACCTTCCCTACTCCTTCCCATCTCCAGTAAAATAAGCTTATTTGTGCAGTAATTGAAAGTCACCTGATTTATCCATAGGATCAACTTCTATAATACGGATGTGCAGAGCCTCCCTTATTCAAACGATAGTAGAGCAACTGAAAAAGGAGAAAATAGTCATAGGAGTGTTTCTAGACAGATGTTTCTCCTGCAGGAGCATGCAGACATCTGCACGGCTAAGTTTCAAGTTATAGTTACTTGAAAAGGTTATAGAATAAGTAGGCATAAAACAGCTGATTTTGCTGTTCTGGGAAAATGTGCTGTGTCACATCATATAACAGTCAGTTTCCACATTTTTCATCTTCTGAAATAGGGTGTTTTCTTCTTAGAAGATCTTAGTTCTATTTTGATTGGCACTGCTTATATTAAGGACACCATTGCAAAGGTATTGACAGATAGCACGGGCAACAAATATACTTGAAAAGTGCCAAAATGTAATTGTACACTCTCGCTGCAGAGTGAGATATCCACAAAATAGCTGAGGAGCAGCCACGGTGACCACTGTCTGTTTTGTTAATGAGACCTTAAGGGGATATCTCAGGATCTGCATAGCTGGATGATAAAAGCAGTAAGTTTGTTCAAAAGGTTTATAAGCAAGCACACAGTGCTGGTCAGTTAGAGAGAGGTCCAAATGAGTTTCTACCTCAATAGTTTCTACCTCTCATGTAGAGAGTCAGAAATTTTGAACCTCATGCAATGACTAGTCTTCACTTTTTTTTTAAGCTTTATGTCGCATTTTGTTGCAAAACCCATGCTTGTGTGAGTTCTTGTAAATGCTTCTTCTGAAAAGGTGCCAGCTAGCCAGCACATAAGTTTCACTACACTGGTTTTACCCGGGTGAATGTTTATGTACTTAGCACGTGTTTTTTATATCTTTAATAAGCCAATAACCAGACCCTCGCATTTCTACTAGGCAGCAGACTAAAAAAGGGAGAAAAGGATTCACTTTTAATACAATGTATAATATTTAAAAAAGTTTTTTTGGCTTGAACAGAATAGTGACCATAAATAATTTTCTTAAAGGAAAACTAATTATTGTTTGGAATCCTTTGGATGTTATTTGGTAAAAAGTCTGTTAATTTTTTTAAAAAGTACTAAGGTTTGTGTGTGAGTGTGTGTCTAAGTTTTGAGTTAAGTTTTCTGCATTTTTCTTAAAGTAAGAACATTAAGATACTGCCTTATTTCATTACATGGAACTACAGCTATATTTTTAGATTAGAAATGTACTTTTCATCTTATTAGTTCTTTATTGGATGTCAGTTGAAAGCTAATTTTTAAAAAATAAGCAAAACACCTAGAAGAGTAATGTTCTTGATTCAGTATATATCTCATAGTGTTACTCTTTGTAGTTTTAACCAACCATTACATGGTAGTCCGCTTGTATAGTACATTCTGCCAGCCTCTCTCTTTCACTTTAGCAGTCAAGCTTTCTACTGATTTTAATGGGAGTTTATTTGGAGCCAGAAGATTTCACTCGCCAAGATACGGAGTGTTTTCTTCTTGTGGTCTAACATCTCTAGGCTAATGTAAGACCCTCACAAGCCTGAGGATGGTTAGCACGGCAGAAGGGAGACTAAGCAGTTGGACACCAGTTGAAACACTTTCAAGTTGAGATTTCCAAAATGAAAAAGGACAAATGACTATGAAAATAGTTCTGACAGTTTTGTAGAAACAGTTTCTCATCGAGAAATAAGTGAAGGACCAGGCAATTTTCTTAAAAGCTTTTCTTCTGTCCTTTTATTTTCTGAGCTGTGCTATACCAGTGTTGCAGTCCCAAAGC